CTAGCCCTTCTTGGTAACCATTCCTTTCTTCATGACATTCTCTATCTCCAATAATACTTTCTTTCTCCTTTTATTTTTTTGGTCAGTAGTGGTGCTTGAACTCTGGGCACTGTCCCTTAGTTCTTCAGCTCAAGGCTAGTGCCCTACTACAGGGTACTTTTAGTTTTTTGGTCGTTAACTAGAGATAAGAGTCTCAGGGACTTTCCTGCCTGGGCTGGCTTTGAACCTCGATCCTCAGATCTCAGCTTCCTGAGTTGCTAGGTAGCTAGATTACAGGCATGCCTCCAGCGCCCAGCATAAAATTTTGTTTCATGGAATGTCATGACTCCATTTATATTTATCATGTTCTTCCAATTTGGTATATACAACTTTTTTCAGAGCTCTAGAGCTCGTATTTGACAGTTGAAATGACCCAAACTTTGAAATAGTGTCTTGGTTTCACTGAGTTGTCTAGTTGTTTTTTTTTGCAGGTCGTGGACCTGAACTCTGGGCCTGGGCGCTGTCCCTCAGCTCTTGGCGAGCGCTCTACAGACGATTGAGCCACAGCAACAGTTCCGGCTTTTCCTGTTTATATGATGCTGAGGAATCGAATCCAGGGCCTCATACATGCAAGGCAAGCACTCTACCACTGAGCCACCTTCCCAGCCCATAGTTGTTTTTGTTTTTTAACTGAAAGGAAAAGCTTGTGGATTAAACAGAATATTTAAAAATGTTTGCCACTCACTTTAACTTGTTTCAATACTTAAGGAAAACTGGCTTTCTTAAAAATCTTAGCAGGTCTATCTATATTTTTATTTACCTTTTTGGTTCAGTGGAAGTTGAGTTGTTCAGGGAAGATGACAGGTAATGAAACAGAAATACATACAGACATAATCCCAGCAACCCTGTAATCCCAACACTTGGGAAGGGTGCAAGTTCAAGGGTCATTTGGGCTACAGAGGGACACCTCGTTTCTGACAATCCCTTTTGTGGTGTTGTTGCACTCACAGTTGGTTGGATCCACAGATGTGGGACTCACCCACAGATGGGGGAGGGCTAACTGTATTATCTACAAGTTGCAGAAGAGTAAAGTGAACCTTAGAAATTCAGTATCTGCCTTGTTTACCGAGGAGATAGGGGCTTGGGCCAGTTTTGAAAGCTAGATTTTAGTAACTCCACTTAAATCTAGCTCTCCTTTTCTGTTCCATTTCCTATCATCTACATTCCTCTCTACCTTCAGCTTTCAAATCCCACCCATTTTTTTTCAGAGCAGCTCAACTACCATTTTTTCTACCAAGTCTTTTCAGGTATTCCAAACTAGAGAGGATTTACATTTAAGAATTTAGAAAACTTGCTCTGTACCTCATCTATACTTCTCTAAATGTACACTTAAAATTGTAATTTGTCCTCATCACACAAACTTAAAAGTATTCTTGCCAGTCCTGGGGCTTGAACTCAGTGCATGAACACTTTTCCTGACTTTTTTTTTTTGCTCAAGGCTAATGCTCTATCACTTGAGCCACAGTTCCACTTCTGGATTCCCCTCCTCCCCCCCAATTCTGGATTTTTTTTTTGTAGAGCTAAGAGTCTCACAAACTTTCCTGGCTGGGCTGGCTTTGAACCGTGATCCTCGTATCTCAGCTTCCTGAGCAGCTAGGAATATACGTCTGAGCCACTTGCACCCAGCTAAGTGTTCTTTTACTCCTCAGAAGTTACCACTTTCTATCTTAATGTTGCTGTGTTTCAGCTAGGAACTTGTTAGACAGTTATTTGAGGACAGGAGAATAGCTGAGTCCTAAGTTCTCTAAAATAGATGTTAATAAACAATTGCCAAAAGGATCCAAGGACTTAAAATCTCTTGGGCCTGCACATTACATTTTTGGATGGAGAGCAGGTCTGTCTGTTAAGAATAAGTGACTTTTTTCCTCCCCCAGGGGACTGGTAAAGACATGTCAAACCCTCCTTCTCCTCCCACCTTCATTAAAGAACAAAGAGCCATGTACTTCTAGGTACAAGAAGTGTCTGGTTTCTGTTTTAGCAGGGTCTCAGAAGGAAATGACTTTTCTCTGAAACCATAGCCGCCCAACCCAGCTGCGGCATTGTTAGACCTGGGGTAAACAGGAAGCTTCCTGTCTTGGGCCCTTCATGTCCCTCTCCCAGACTATTAAAGACTGTTAAGAGGATGATAAAAGGACAGCTGCTGGCCATAAAGTCAGCCCACTCTTAGATCCTTAGAGACTAGAAACTAGACCTTCCAAGGTCAGGGAAAAACTGGTCTTTCTCCAGGCCACACTAGGTGTGTCCACTTACCTGGGGTCCTCAGGTGGAAGATTTTTGGGGGATGAGGAGAGTGATCTCTAGTCACAACTAGACTGAGGCTGGGAGAGCAGTGAAATCACACTGACGCTGGGCTATCCATCTTCACCTCTTCCAATAGAGGAACAATCAGTCCTGATCACTCCCCAAAGGAGGGAAAGAGAAGCAGATAGCAAAGAACCTAGTGCTCCTAGTTTGGCAATAGAGAGCCAAGCGGAAAGGGGACCCCAGCTCCTCCCACACAGGCTGGAAGTCCCTGGATATGCAGCTGTTGGCTGAGAGAGGGCACAGTTTCTGCCAACTGGAGGGACGCAGGGAAGGGTGATCATCTTTTGCCAAGAAGGGCACTCAGTGTCTTGGCAGAAGGCAAAGAGGGCTGCCCCAATCTGTGTGTACGTTTTCAGAAGCATTTGACTCTGGACCAAATGCTTGGCTGTGGTAGGGCTGCGGCGGCAGCAGCAATGGGTAGGAGTGTGCATTGGCCAGGCTGGCCGGAGGCTCCCACAGACAGAGCTGGGCTTCTGCCAGGAGCTTCCCTTCAGCTGGCAAGTGGAGCTTTCTGTCACGGTTGGAGGGAGTGTGTCCAAAATTCCAACTCTCAGCCTTTCCAGAAGCTGCTGCTGATTACCCATCTGTTCTGAAGAGTTGTACACTTACTGGAATGTTTGGCTCAAATGGGAACTAAGATACAAAGCCAAACTCCTACCTGGCTCAGTGATCATACTACCATTAGTGATAGGCTCACTACCAAATGTAGGGGCTGTGAAGCAGGATGGAGCTCTTTCAGCTGTCCAGGTCGCTGTGTTGCTTCTTCTGACCTTATTCTCCAGGGTTACTGCCTTCCCTTCTTAGTTACTCCTTCAGAGTGGCACCCAGGGATGAAAGGATTTCTTCTAATCACTGAAAAGAGAAATGGGGGATACCTCCAAAATAATGTTTGAGCCTCCACATGTCTTTTTTTGGGGCCGGTTGTGGGGCTTGAACTCAGGGCCTGGATGCTGTCCCTCAGCTCTTCAGCTCAAGGTTAGCACTCTACCACTTGAGCCACAGCACCACTTCTGATTTTCTGGTGGTTTACTGGAGATAAAAGTCTCATGGACTTTCCTACCATGGCTGGCTTTGAACCATAATCTTCAGATCTCAGCCTCCTGAGTAGCTAGGATTATAGGCGTGAGCCATCAGTGCTGGCTCACACAAGTATTTAGACTGGGATAATTCTATGTATGAGGGAGCTGTCAAGATTTTGGAGCTAAAAAGGACCTATGAGCATCCTCCAAGGAATAACAGCACTTCCCTAGTTTCAGAATACATGATTAAGTCTGAGACTCGACCAAGTTGACTTCAGGAAAATGCAGGTTTTACCGAGAAAATCAGAACGTAGAGCTCCTACCACATTTTTAGCTTGACTTTTTTCAAATTATTATCAGATTTTTTTTTTTTAATGTGTGTGCTGATCCTGGGGTTTGAACTCAGGGCCTTGGTACTGTCCCTTTTTTGCCCAAGGCTAGCATTGTACCATTTGCACCATTACAGGTCCACTTGCATCTTTTTTAGGTGGTTAATTGGTGATGAGTCTCAAATGAACTTTCCTACCAGGACAGGGTTTGAACTGTGATCCTCAGATGTTCGTCTTCTGAGTAGCCACCAGCACCCAGCTATTACTATTTTTTTGTCGGTTGTGGGGCCTGAACTATGGGCCTGGGCGCTGTCCCTCAACTCCTCAGCTCAAGACTAGCGCTTTACCACTTGAGCCACAGCAACACTTCTGGCTTTTACTGCTTATATGGTACTGAGGAATGGAACCCAGGGCCTCATGCATGCAAGGCAAGCACTATACCACTGAGCCACCTTCCCAGCCCACCAATTTTTTTCATGCTAGGGATCAATAACTAGGACATTATACACTCTACCACTGGACACTACCCACTGTCCCTACTATTTTTTTTTTTTTTGGGTCCAGTTGTAGGGCCTGAACTCTGGGCCTGGGCGCTGTCCCTTAGCTCTTCAGCTCAAGGCTAGCGCTCTACCACTTGAGCCACAGCACCACTTCTGGCTTTTTTCTTTTTGCTTATGTGGTGCTGAGGAATCGAACCCAGGGCCTCAGGCATGTAAGGCAAGCGCTCTACCACTGAGCCGACTTCCCAGCCCCGTCCCTACTATTTGTAAACTGTAATTCAATGCAAATTTAACTAAGAATTGTTTAATTGCTGTAAAAAAAAATCTTCAGAAACATTGTCCCATTTAGAGACAATGGTCCCATTTTCCTACTGCTACCATATGGTCCAAGCCTACAACATCTTGTATTATCACCAGATAAAAGTTTTTTTTTTTCCCCAGTCCTGAGGCTTGAACTCAGGGACTGGGCACTGTCCCAGTCCCCAGCTTCTTTTTGCTCAAGACTAGCACTCTACCACTTGAGCCATGGCATTACTTCTGGCTTTTTCTGTTTATATGGTACTGAGGAATCAACCCCAGGGCTTCATGCATGCTAGGCAAGCACTGTACCACTAAGCCACACTCTCAGTGTGTCTTCACCTTTTTTTTTTTTTGGTCGCGGGGCTTGGAACTCTGGACCTGGGTACTGTTCCTCAGCTTTTCAGCTCAAGGAGAGTGCTCTACCACTTGAACCACAGCGCCACTTGTGGGTTTTCTGGTGGTTAATTGGAGATAAGAGTCTCATGGACTTTCCTGTGGGCTGGCTTTGAACTACGATCCTCAGATCTCAGCCTCCTGAGTAGTTAGGATTACAGGCAGGAGCCACTGGTGCCCAGCTGTGTCTTCACTTTTAAACCCTGAGTTAACTTGGCTTCCAGCTTGTCCCTTGGGATTCCAGGTCATGTCCAAGGCAGGAAGTTGCAGTGGAGGAGCAGTCCCAGGAGCCAGTACGTTAGGAAGTAGCCTAAAATGTATTGTGTAACTGGAGAACAGGTTTTCCAGTTGTATAAGAGTACCATGATAGAATTTCTAGGGACCCTTTGTCCTGGTGAAGAGTCTTCTGAACAGGGCTTTGAAGATGCTGTCTCTAGGGATCTCAATAATGGCTCTTGATCCTGAAGCAAGTGAGCTGCAAACCAGTACACAATAGGAGTGGAGGAGCTTAAAAATCTGGTGAGAACCTAGAAATCATAAAAAGGGAAAAACCCACATATTTATTGGAGTATCGAGCTGGACCAGCCTATCAACCTTTTTGTTGCTGGTTGGTTCATGGCTCCATGACTAGAAATAGATGTGTGTGATAATAGTCTCAGGCTAATCAGCACAATAATGGGCCAATCAATACTACAAACTTTGGGGTCTAACTTTAGCCCAGAGCCAGTGAACTATAACTCTAAGGAGGCTCCTTTATGGTACAGGAGTGACCCAGCAGAGGGAAAGGGGCAACAGATCTGCTAGTTCAATCTTTTTCCTAGTACAGAAGTTAACAGCCAAGTTGACAAGCCTCCAAATGGCCAACCTCATCACCCTGGAAACCGTGCTTGGTTGATACTCTGCACTGAACGCTACTTCCTATTTCCCAAGTGCCTCTCATGAACACAACTGTTAACTTCACAAACCACCAATGCATGCCTCCAACAGGAAAATATTGCTTAGCCTGGAGTCAAAAAACTTCCTTCGCAGGGTTAGAGGTATGTCCCAATTGGGAGAACACTAGCCAATGAGCAAACATGTCAAGTACCAAGTTCTAGTCCCTATCTCAGACCAAAGGGGGGTGAGGGGAGGGGGAACCTTCCTCGGGGGATGTTGAAACTGGGATATAATGGCCAAGATTAAAAACAACAACAATGTAAGGTAAAACTCCTCCTAATTCTTTGGACTCTCTTCAGCACTGGACAAGGAGCTTCTCTCAAAATAACACCTGTCTTCTTCAGAGTACTTCAAGAAGCCAACTTGGGTAGATCTGATCTGTGTATGATGGAAGGTCTCTAGCTGTCCCCGGTGCCTGTTCCTTCACTTCAATCCAATCAGATCCTTTCATGTCCTTTCTTCATGTCTCTACATATGTCCACCCATGTACCTAGAATGTTCCTTCTTTTTTTTTGCCAGTCCTGGCTTTACTCCCTGGGGCACTGCCCCTGAGCTTCTTTTTGCTCAAGCCTAGCAGTCTGCCACTTGAGCCACAACACCACTCTTGGTTTTTTTCTGTTTATATGGTACTAAGGAATTGAACTCAGGGCCTCATGCATACTAGGCAAGCACTCTACCACTAAGCCATAGTCTAAGCCTCCCCTTCTCTGCTTTTTATAAAGTTCTTAATTTTTATTTTTTTTTGGGTCCGGTTGTGGGGCCTGAACTCTGGGCCTGGGCGCTGTCCCTCAGCTCTTCAGCTCAGTGCCACTTCTGGCTTTTTTCTTTTTGCTTATGTGGTGCTGAGGAATCGAACTCAGGGACTCAGGCACGCAAGGCAAGCGCTCTACTACTGAGCCACCTTCCCAGCCCAAGTTCTTCATTTTTTGAGTGGTGGTAGTGTTGGGGTTTGTACTTAAGGTTTCATGCTTGTTAGACAGGTGCTGAGCCATGCCTCAAGCCCTTTTTGCTTCGATCATTTAGGGAAGGGAGGTATACTGGTACCAAGTCTTGAACTCCTGGACTCATGCTCATCCTAGACCTTCTTGCTCAGTTAGCATTCTACTTGGGCCATTCCTCCAGTTTGGCTTTTTTTGTGTGCCAATCCTGGAGCTTGTGCTCTAGAGCCTAGTGTTCTACCACTTGAGCCACAGCTCCATTTCTGGCTTTTCTGGTAATTCCTTAGAGTCTCATGGACGTTCCTGGCCAGACTGGCTTTGAATTAGATCTTCAGGTCTCAGCCTCCTGCTTAGTGAGAATTACAGGCATGAGCCACTGGCACCCAACGTCTTTTTTTTTTTTTTTTTAATTAATCTCAGATCAGCTAGCCTTCTATCCCACTGTATTATAGTTATATCTGTTCAATGTATATTTCCCTGCTTATACCACAAAGCTCAACCAAGGCAGTAATTTTGTTATTTGTGCTTCATCCTCAGAGTTCTGACCCAGGATTTGGCACAAAGAAAAATTTCAGAGTTGAATGATCAAATTAAGTACAGGTCACTCAAATGGGAGACGTTAGCTGTCTTCCCTGCCCTTGGGGTTATCTGTATTCCCATCCTTATCCCAGTGGGAACCCACCTCACCTGAACATGCATGCACAGTCCTCCAAAGAGCAGCAGCGCTGCAGCATGGACCAGGTACACAAACACCCCTGGACTGAGGAAGCCAGGATGGGGCTTACTGTCCCTGCTCCTTTGTAGCCCAAGTGTAAGGCAGAGCCAAGGATGGGTGGTCACGTATGTCCAGGTTGCCAAGGCTACCAGTATAGCCATAGGTGCAGCCAGTAAAAAATTAGGCACCTGTCTGAGCTCATAGTATCTCAGAAAGCCAACATTCCAGTAGACATCCTGGATGTAGCTGTATATGAGAGGAAGGTCCCAGGAGCACCACGGCGGCAGATTTCCCTCTGCAATCCGGTAGCCCTTGTCCATAGCTAATTGCACCAAGGGTTCAGGAATGGAGTGAGGAGAGCCTGGCAGACAGAACTGGGTATAGGCATAATACTGAAAGAGGGCAAAGGGAAGGCTAATTGTGAGCACAGACAGGCACAGAGAAGCCATCAGCTTAAAGGACTGTCTCACCAGGCTTAACACCAGGAAAGAAGAAACAAAGGCTCGGCACTGAGAATATAGAAGAAAGCCAACGCTGACCAGCCCATTGGAGCGTACTCCAGTAGCAAGAGCAAAGAGGAGACCACTAGTCCAGCCTCGGCCCCTCTCCAGCTGCCCCATGGCACTGAAAGTGAGGAAGGCAAATAAAGCTTCTGAATAGCCAGCTGTCAGAAAAACATTGGCGGGGCTAAGGCAGAAGAGCAGTGCTGCATAAAAAGCTTGGTGAGGACAGTGCAAAACCAGACAGCCCAGGTCGTGAAGGGTGACTGCAGCCAGCACAGAGAACAAGGAGTTGAGCAAGGCTACTGCAATCAACAGGCAACTCCGCTGGCTCAGTAGGCCCCTCAATGGCCTCAACAATTCAGATCCCACCAGAAGGGCCAAAGGGAAGCCAGGGAAGAAGGCAAAGTTGTGCTCATAGAGGTAGCCATGCTCGGCAATGAACAGGAAGTGTTCTGCGTCCCAGCGAGAGAGGCCACCCAGAAGCCCTTCCACAAGCTGGTCCATAGAACCCGAGGGTGCCAGGCGGGGAGGAGAAAAGGCTTCTGCTTGGTGATCTGGGATGATGGCATTGAAGAGGGCCTGTGGAGTAAAGAAAAAGCAGGATTTTGGCTCAGTAACTGAAAGAAAATTACCATGTCATAAAAGAAGAACAGCTGTCAGGAGCATGTAGCTCACACCTGTCATCCTAACTAATCAGGAGGCTAAAATCTGAGGATTGTAGTTCAAAGCCAGTTCAGACATGAAAGTCCATGAGACTCTTATCTCCAATTAACTACCAGAAAACTGGAAGTGGTGCTGTGCTCAAGTGGTAGAGCGCTAGCCTTGAGCTGAAGAGCTGAGGAACAGCACCCAGGCGCAGAGTTCAAGTCTCATGACTGACAAAAACAAAAACAAGAAACAAAAAACAGCTGTGTTGGGATAGTATCTGAAGCTTACTTTTGGACTAGTTTTTTTTTTTTGTCGGTCGTGGGGCCTGAACTCTGGGCCTGGGCGCTGTCCCTCAGCTCTTCAGCTCAAGGTTAGCGCTCTACCACTTGAGCTACAACGCCACTTCTGGCTTTTTTCTTCTTGCTTATGTGGTGCTAAGGAATCGAACCCAGGGCTTCAAGCATGCAAAGCAAGCGCTCTACCACTGAGCCACCTTCCCAGCCCCGACTTTTGGACTAGTTTTTATTTATTTATTTATTTATTTATTTTGGGTCCGGTAGTGGGGCCTGATCTCTGGGCCTGGGCACTGTCCCTCAGCTCTTCAGCTCAAGGCTAGCGCTCTACCACTTGAGCCACAGCGCCACTTCCAGCTTTTTTCTTTTTGCTTATGTGGTGCTGAGGAATCGAACCCAGGGCCTCAGGCATGCAAGGCAAGCGCTCTACCACTGAGCCACCTTCCCAGCCCTTGGACTAGTTTTTAAATCTGAGATGGACACTGTAGTGTCAGTGAAATGAGTATAATCACTAGATTACAAATCCAGGTGTGAGACGCATGAGTCTGCAAGTTAGAAAAGAAAACTGGCTGGAGACAAAGCTGGAGATGGAAGGGTAAGCACAGGATCTGAAGGTGTGAGACTGAAGAGATTGTTGAAGAGGGAAGAGCAGGCAGAGGAAAGAGTCCCCAGGATGGAGCCCTGGATACTCAGCCTTCAGAGGCTGAAAAGGTGAGGATCTAGAATGAAGATAAAGAAGGGGAAAACCCATGAGAGCACAGTGTCTTAGAACCAGATGAAGAATGAGAGTGACCAACTCTGTTAAATGCTACTGACAGACCAAGTGAGATGGGACTGAAAACTAACCACATGATTCAATGTGACGGCCACTGGTGATTTTGACTAGACTTGTTTCACTGTAGTCTGGAGGAGATTAACCTCTCAGACTAGGTTCAACAGAGAATGGGAAAAGGAAAATTGAAGATAGTTCACACAGATGATATATATAGATATTCAATGCTGAAGTTCAAACTTAGGGCTTTCAGCATATTAGGTGCCTGCTCTACTACTGAGCTATATTCTAAATCTTCAAACATTGATTTTGAATTCTACTACAAAGGGGAACAGAGAAGTGGGGTAGGGGTTGGGAAGGTGGCTCAGTGGTAGAGCGCTTGCCTTGCATGCATGAGGCCCTGGGTTCGACTCCTCAGCACCACATAAGCAAAAAAGAAAAACCCGGAAGTGGCGCTGTGGCTCAAGTGGCAGGGCGCCTAACCTTGAGCTGAAGAGCTGAGTGACAGCGCCCAAGCCCAGGCCCCACGACTGGATCCCTCCACCAAAAAAAAAAAAAAGACAGAGAAGTGGGGTAGAACGTCTAACATAATGTGGGATAAGGATAATTTTTCTTTACTTTTTAATTTTTTTGGTCAGTTGCGGGGCTTGAATGCAGGGCCTGGAAGCTGTCCCTGAGCTTTTCTGCACAGGGCTACTGTTCTACCACTTTGAACCATATTTCCACTTCTGGTTTTCTGGTGGTTAGTTGGAGATGAGTCTCACACACTCTCCTGACCAGGCTGGCTTTGAATCGTGATCTTTAGGTCTCAGACTCCTGAGTAGCTAAGACTATAGGTGTGAGCCACCAGTGTTTGCTGACAGAATTTACTTAAGGTGGGCAATAAATGTTTGTATGTTACTTGGAATAGTCTAGTGAGAAGGAAACCAGTGAGTATGTAGGAGAAAGGAAAGAATGGCGGGGCAGGGAACAGATGATGAAATCTGCTAGACAAGTAGAGGAGCTAGCCTTAAGGGACAGTTCACCCCTATTCTGTAATGAAGGTGATGGATGTGGAAATGGCCACCTGAAATGTGAGGATTACAGGTATGAGTCACCAAAGCTGGCCTTTGGGTTTCAATTTATTTAGTTTGTGCCAGTCCTATAGCTTGAACTCAGGGCCTGGGAGCTATCCTTGAGCTTCTTTTGTTCAAGGCTAGTGCCCTTTCACTTGAGCCACATATCCACTTCCAGCTTTTTGGGGGTAGTGCCTAGTTTCATTTATTTTGGTGACAGGCCTCATGCATACCAAGCACACACTACTGTTGAGCTACATTTTTAGCCCTGAATTTAACTTTTTTAAAGACTCTTAGGTGATTCTTTTTTTTTTTTTTTTTTTTAATTTTTTCGGTCCGGTCATGGGGCCTGAACTCTGGGCCTGGGCGCTGTCCCTCAGCTCTTCAGCTCAAGGCTAGCCCTCTATCACTTGAGCCACAGCGCCACTTCTGGCTTTTTTCTTTTTGCTTATGTGGTGCTGAGGAATCGAACCCAGGGCCTCATGCATACAAGGCAAGCACTCTACCACTGAGCCACCTTCCCAGCCCTCTTAGGTGATTCTGATGTGAAGAAAAGTTTGTGAGAATGGGAGAGTGCATAGGAGAATGCACAGGCTACAGAAACACACCAAGATTTCTATGTAGCACTAGTGACTCACAGCAGAGTAGTTAGTAGAATTCACCAGTTTTTTCTGGGTAGCTGCAGGAATGGATGAAGAAGACAGCTAAATTTAACCAATGTTGGGCGTGCATGGGAATGATTACCATGATTGATGATGGAATCTTAACTAGGTAAGAAAGGCTATTGAAGCCATAGAGCAGATGAGCAACAGTGAAACTGGTAGGATCAATGGATTACAAATCCTGAGCAGAGCCAAGTGCTGTTGGAATCCTAGCTACTCAGGAGGCTGAGATCTGAGGATCGCGGTTCAAAGCCAGCCTGGACAGGATAGACCGTGAGACTCCTATCTCCAATAAACCACCAGAAAACCGGAAGTGGCGCTGTAGCTCAAGTGGTAGAGCGCTCGCCTTGAGCTGAAGAGCTGAGGGGCAGCGCCCAGGCCCAGAGTTCAAGCCCCACGACCGATAAAAAAAAAAAAAAAAAATCTGAGGAATGTGGTTCAAAGCCAGCCTGGGCAGGAAAGGCTATGAGACTAATCTCTAGTTAATCACAAAAAGCTGGAATAGAGCTATGGCTCAAGAGGTAGAGCATTAGCCTTCAGCAAAAGGGCTCAGGGACAGTGCCTAGGCCCAGAGTTCAAGATGCATTACATTTACAAAAAAAAAAATATCCTGAGTAGGTGGAGAATTTTTAGAGCTGGGGTAATACCAGTATCCTGCAAAGACAGAAAATAGTGAGCAGAGACTAGAATGCTTAATATTTCTATTATTGGGTGGGAGGTGGAGGTACTGGTATTACTGTGAGAGCGGTGAGACAAAGATCATTAAAGAAAGAAGTGATCAGGCTATAGATGTAACTTTTTGCGTGTGTGCTGATCCTAAGGCTTGAACCTAGGGTCTAGGTGCTGTCCCTTAGCTTTATCACTCAAGCCTGGTGCTCTACACCTAAACCACACCTCCACTTCTGGTTTTTTAGTGGCTAATTGGAAATAAGAGTCTCATGGACTTTCCTGCCCAATGCTGGTTGGCTTCAAACCAAAATCCTTAGATCTCAGCCTCCTGAGTTAGATAGGATTACAGCCCATCTGTATATTAATATTGAAATTACAAAGACATGATCACAAGTAGTGCCGAAAGAGTGTGCCACGGAAACTGCAAGGAATAACTTAAACTGATGGAGATGACAGAAACAATGAAGGGTGATGTGGTATAAAACCTGATGACATGCCGGGTGCTGGTGGCTCACACCTGTAATCCTAGCTGAGGAGGCTGAGATCTGAGGATCGCGGTTCAAAGCCAGCCTGGGCAGGAAAGTCCGTGAAACTCTTATCTTCAATAAACCACCAGAAAACCGGAAGAGGTACTGTAGCTCAAGTGGTAGAGCGCTAGCCTTGAGCTGAAGAGCTAAGGGACAGCGCTCAGGCCCAGAGTTCAAGCCTGACCAACAAAACAAATAAACAAACAAAAAACCTAATGACATGAGCTTTAAGGCTGGGAGTAGTGAGGAAGGAGAGACAATGAGACAGCACTTATTGATTCATGTTAAATGTTTTAGTGCCTCATTGTATTGCCAGTCACTTAAGAAAAACATGGGGACTGGGAATGTGGCTCAGTGGTAGAGTGCTTGCCTAGTGTGCATGAAGCCCTGGATATGATTCCTCAGTACCACATAAACAGAAAAAGCTAGAAGTGACGCTGTGGCTCAAGTGGTAGAGTGCTAACCTTGAGCTAAAGAAGCTCAGGGACAGTGCCTAGGCCCTGAGTTCAAGTCCCAGATCTGGCCAAAGGAAAAAAAAAAAAGAAAAAGAAGCTGGGCGCCTGTGGCTTATGCCTGTAATCCTAGCCACTCAGGAGGCTGAGATCTGAGGATCACGGTTCAAAGCCAACCCAGGCAGGAAAGTCCATGAGACTCTTATCTCCAATTAACCACCAGAAAACCAGAAGTAGCACTGTGGCTCAAGTGGTAAGCACTAGCCTTGAGCTGAAAAGCTGAGGAACAGTACCCAGGCCCAGAGTTCAAGCCCCATGATTAACCAAAACAAAAAACAAAAAAGAAAAAGAAGAAGAAAAACACACTCTACCTAGGACAATTCAAAAATTCTTTTTTTTTTTGGATCCGGTCATGGGGTCTGAACTCTGGGCCTGGGCGCTGTCCCTCAGCTCTTCAGCTCAAGGCTAGCGCTATACCACTTGAGCCACAGTTCCACTTCTGGCTTTTTTCTTTTTGCTTATGTGGTGCTAAGGAATCGAACCCAGGGCCTCAGGCATGCAAGGCAAGCGCTCTACCACTGGCCTCAGGCATGCAAGGCAAGCACTCTACCACTGAGCCACCTTCCCAGCCCTGAGGAGGAGTCTTCTTAACTTGTTGTTAGCGCTGGCTTCAAATTATGGTCTTCTTGACCTTCACTTCCTAAGTAGCTGGGATTACAGATGTTCCATTGTACCAGGCCAGCCTAGCTCCATATTTTTGTTGTTATTGTTGTTGTTGTCGTGGGGCTTGAACTCTGGGCCTGGGCACTGTCCCTCAGCTATTCAGCTCAAGTCGAGCGCTCTACCACTTGAGTCACAGCACCACTTCCAGTTTTCTGGTAGTTTATTGGAAATAAAGAGTCTCACAGACTTTCCTGCCCGGGCTGAGATCCTCAGAGCTCAGCCTCCTGAGTAGCTAAGATTACAGGCATGAGCCACCAGCGCCTGGCTTCCCAGCTCCACATTAAAAGCTCTGTTTTTTGGTTAGTTTCCTTATCAGGCCACTTCTGAGTGAGTAAAACCGAATGAGACTGGAGTGATAGTCACAGATAATCCAGGGCTCCAGGTTGAAGACACTTATTTATTTTTTGGTCGGTCGTTGGGCCTGAACTCTGAGCCTGGGCACTGTCTCTGAGCTACTTTTGCTCAAGGCTAGCACTCTACCACTTGAGCCACAGCACTACTTCTGGCTTTTTCGGCTTATGTGGTGCTGAGGAATCGAACCCAGGGCCTCATGCATGCAAGGCAAGCACTCTACCACTGAGCCACCTTCCCAGCCCTCCTGAAAGCATCTCTGAGTTGGAAATACATCAGACAATTCTTTTCTTTTTTTTTTCGGTGGTCCTGGGCTTGAACTCTTGGCCTGGGTGCTGTTCCTCAGCTCTTCAGCTCAAGGCTAGTACTCAACCACTTGAGCCACAGGAACACTTCCAGTTTTCTGGTGGTTTATTGGAGATAAGAGTCTCATGGACTTTCCTGCCCGGGCTGGCTTTGAACAGTGATCCTCAGATCTCAGCTTCCTGCTTAGCTAGGATTACAGGTGTGAGCCACCATACCCAGAACATCAGACAATTCTGACCACTAGTTCAGAAAGGAAAACTGGGATCTAGCTAACTCTGACCTTTCTTTAGCTTGCTATGTAGCTTTGGGGAAATCCATTTAACCTTTCTGGCTTGTGCAACTTCACGTGTAAAACGAGGAAATAATACTAAGATTCCTACCCATGATTTGGCTATAAAGCTTATGTCGCTAAGGTTATAACCACATGGAAGGGCACTGTGAGAAATGTGAATTAGTCTTCCTGCCTGGCCCAGGCAGGTAACAACTGCATGTTCAGAACAAAGGATGAGACACTGACCTGCAGTATCAGAGTCAGAACACGGCAGCTGACGGCAAACCGCAAAACTTCTTTCCGGGATGGCTTCAAGGGCCACATTCTCCCACCAATAGGAATTCAAGTGTGTTGCTACCAGGACAGTGCTTCCTCAGGCTTCTAAGTCCAAAACCTAAGGAAGAACATGCCACACATGGATCAAAAGTAAATTACTAAAAGCATTCTTCAAAGGAGACCCCTTCCCCCTCAGCATTCTATGGCAAAAGTAACCCCTTGCTTCCCAACCAGAAGAATGTCTTGACACATGGGACCACTGGGTGTCACTCTGAAGCACTGTATTCTTGTAGGACAAGTTTCACATAGCCAAGCATGAAGGAGGAAAACTAATCTCACTGAAAACCTTTAACAGAAGCTGGGCGCCGGTAGCTTATGCCTGTAATCCTAGCTATTCCTCAGGAGGCTGAGATCTGAGAATCACAATTCAAAGCCAGCCCGAGCAGGAAAGTCTATGAGACTCTTATCTCTAATAAACCACTAGAAAACTGGAAGTGGCGCTGTGGCTCAAGTGGTAAAGCACTCGCCTTGAGCTGAAGAGCTGAGGGATAGCACCCAAGCCCAGAGTTTAAGCCCCAGGACCAACCAAAAAAACAAAGCAAAACAAAAAGACTTTTAACAACACAATGAGTGCTCCTCCTATGTAGGAACTGTAGACACAGGTTCAAGTACCGATTTTGTCATGAGTTTCCATACTATGTATAAATGGGATTAATCTCTTTGCCTATCTTACAAAATTGTCACAATGATGAAACGGACTAATGTGTGAAGTATTACAGAAGTCTACACTGTGGTTGCTATTATTTGGTGCGTGCCCTTTCTCTCTTGCCCAGAATAATAAACTAGCTCCCAAACCAAAGTCCCAAAAGTGGGGCATAGAACCATACTAGAAGCCCATAATGACTACACAGGCCAGCTTAGCTCTGTGATGTGTGTTCAGCTGGTCTGTTAAATTAAGTGGAGAAGGAAAAGAAAACCGCCACTCAGCAGGACTTCAGCCAGCTCCCCTTGCTAAAATAAATGTAGGGTGAAGGCTGAGCCTACTACAAGGGATTGAGAAAACTTATTTCTCATCTGTTTGTCTCAGTGGCAGCAAAGTATGAACAATTAAAAGCCATTCTGAGGCAAAGAATGCACTTTAAAGCATTATTTTACAATTTTTTTCTTGGTATCAGTCCTGGGGCTTCAACTCAGGGCCTGGGTGCCTCTGAGCTTTTTTTGTTCAGGACTAATGCTCTACTACTTGAGCCACCACTCCACTTCTGGCTTGTCTGTTAATTAATTGCAGATTCTTATGGACTTTCCTGCACGTGATGGCTTCAAACAGCGATCCTCAGGTCTTAGCCTCCTAAGTAGCTAGGATTATGGGTATGAGCCACCAGCACCTGGCTATTTTACAATTTACTTATTTCTTTCTGGTCCTGAACTTGACTCAGAGCCAGGGTGCTGCCCCTGTGCTTTTTCACTCAAGGCTAGCACTCTTCCACTTGGACTACAGTGCCACTTCCAGTATTTACTGTGATTAACTGAAGATAAGACTCACAGACTTTGCTGCCTGGGCTGACTTTGAACTGCAATTTTCAGATCTCAGCCTCCTGAGTAGTCAAGATTACAGGTGTATGCCACTGGTACCTGGCTTTTTATTTTACTTTTTTTGGTCATGGGGCTTGAGCTCTGGGCCTGGGTGCTATCCCTCAGCTCTTCAGCTAGGCTAGTGTTCTACCACTTGAGCCACAGTGTCACTTTCAGTTTTCTGGCTGTTAATTGTCTCCTGGACTTCCCTGTCTGGGCTGGCTTTGAACTGCGATCCTCAGATCTCAGCCTCCTGAGTAGCTAGAATTACAGGCATGATCCACCAGCGCCTGGCTTATTTTACAATTGTTTAAGTTAAAAGTTAGCAGTGGCTCCTAGAAAATCAAAAAGGAAGGTAAGAGCATTAGAAGCAGCTCACTGATCTGGGGTGGACTATGCCTAAAAGAAAAAAAGACTTTAGGAACAATAAGGGCTGAAGAATTCTCTTTTCTCTTTCATGTTAACCTATCAAGGCCTTAGGAACTCTGACTTTTCACTAGACTGTGTTATGCTCTCAGTACTCTGTGCTTTGCTGACCTCATCATTATTGCTTTTTAAGTTGCTTTTAAGGGCAGGGACTTTTATGTAACACCTAGCACATAAGCAGGCACCTTACGACTCATCTGTGTTCTAAACGACTGGAAACGGTAGGGACAGGAAACTGCACGACAAGCTTGCTGCGTCTAGATAAACAATCACCGCTCCAAGTATCCTGCCTCCATCATAAAAAACGTGACAAGTCACAGAAGCCATAGCTTGTGGGAGTACTCCAGAAAGGGAACAAGGTCGACTAAGTGACAGTACTATTTTCTTGGCACAAGGGGGCGCCCGCTGCTTATTCCTTCATTAGGAAGCCAGGAGGAAGGGAGGGGCCCTCAACTCCCACGTGGGTTTGCTCTTGACAATTCAGTTTAAAGGCAAGCTTGAGAAAAACTGGAAGCAGTGGGACTTTATGAATCTACCCATTATCTCCAACATCTGACTCGCTAAATCTAGAGAAACCTCAGAAACACGCACACCCAACTTCACAGTTCTCTGACTAGGGTGAATTCACTGTTTTTCCTTTCCTGGACTTCCCTTCCCACATGCAGAAATGAGGTCGGGAATAGAAGCTTGTAACCCACCTCAGTCTCTTGAACAGCCTTGCATTCTTCCTCTATCGACTCAAGCTCTGGCCCTCAACGTCCACGGATTTGTGGCCCACACTTAGTTTACAGGGAAACCAAGAAAAAGCAAACAAAACAAAAAGCCCGATTTCTCTATTTGCCAACCTCACTCCTCAACAAGCCCCTTGCCAAATCAGACTCAACTGTAAGACGCTTATGGAACGAACTCGCTTCACTTATTATTTTCCCGTGAGATATTCTGGCTCCAGAGATCTCATTAGACACTATGAGGCCAGTATAATTACCATCGCCATTTTATGGATGTGAAAACTGAGGCTCACGGAGGCCAACTGATACACCCAAGACTACTTAAAAGAGATATTCGACGCTTCTGAAACCTCATCCCCAGCCAGGATAAACGCTGGGCCCAGTACGTCCTCCAATGGTACAGAGCACGCACTCCTGGCAACGCCTGGGGTAACGGGCCCTGAGATTCGGGGAAAGCCTGCTCAGACGGAGCTCTAGACCGCCGGAGTCAGCCTGACATCCACGACGGGCCCAGGGTCGCAGGGCCCAAGGCCTCGAGGGGTCACCCCGGAGACCAGGCGGCCTCCTGCCGGCCCCAGCGAGCCCCGAAAGCCGTGCTGGGCCGTTCGCTTCAGGCACAGTCCCTACCGAGGACAGGGCATCACAGACCCTCAACCCGAGGGAGCCACGGCCAACAGGCCGGTCCCGAGGGAGCCGGCGGGGCCGGACCAGCCACAGGGCCGGAAGCAGGCGAGGGCGGGAGGCCGTAAAGGAAGAGGCGGCGCCGGAGGCCGCTATGGCGGAGGGGCGGGGCTCCGCGCTTCTTCGCCGCCCCCGCCTCATTTCTCTCGACCTCCGTCTGGCAGCTTTCCTCTCTACCCACAACGCCAATACTCCAGAGTTTGAGGAGGGGGTTGTCCTCCGAGCTCTCCCTTCCCGAGCTCCCCTCACAGGGCCCGAACCTCGGCACCTCCATCCGGGTCCCGAGCACTCAGCGCCTGCGCCCTGGCTCCGACGACGTCGGCCCCGCCCCGCTCCTGCCCGGACTCGGAGCCGCTCCGCCTCCCTGCGCGGCGGCCATGTTGACTCCGGGCGAATGTGGGGGCGGGGAGGACGGCCCGGCGCGCTGTTCGCTCCGTGTCGTGCCTTCCCGCCTCGGTGACACCTGAGGAGTTCATCTCCGCCGGGGTGACACCTGAGGAGCTCGCCTCGCGCACGTCGCCCTCCTCCCAGGCGCCTTTCGCGCCTGCAGAGAACGCCGGGGCTGCCGCCTCGGAGTCGGTGCTCCGGTCCCAGCTCCATGGCGGGCGTTCACTCGAGTCCCCCATGAAAGCCGAGGCTCATAACTGGGGGGGGGGGGGGGCGGCTGCCCCCCTGCCCCGCGGGCCCGTCACGGAAACCAGAGCCCTGCCCTTGCCGGAGCCCGCTCAGCTCGGCACAGGCCTGGCACACAATGGGTATTCTCGGAATACTCGAGAAGGAGTCTGGGGGGGGGTTTCTGTGGCAAGCAGCGGGCGTCCGGCCTGCTGGGTGTGAGGAACGTGGGGGTCCTCCCTCCCCCGGCGTCGCCCTGTCCCCCTGTCCTGACCGGAGCGCCGCCCCGCCCCCCCGCGCGGACCCCGGCCCGCCCCTCCCGCGCGGACCCCGCCCCGCCCCCCCCCCGCGCGGACCCCGCCCCCGCGCGGACCCCGCCCCGCCCCCTGCGCGGACCCCCCCCCCGCCCTGCCCCCGCGCGGACCCCCCCCGCCCCCGCGCGGACCCCGCCCCGCCCCTCCCGCGCGGACCCCGCCCCCGCCCCTCCCGCGCGGACCCCGCCCCCGCGCGGACCCCGCCCCGCCCCCTGCGAGGCCCCGCCCCGCCCCTCCCGCGCGGACACCGCCCCCGCGCGGACCCCGGCCCGCCCCTCCCGCGCGGACACCGCCCCGCCCCCTGCGCGGACCCCGCCCCGCCCCCGCGCGGACCCCGCCCCGCCCCCGCGCGGACCCCGCGCTCCTGCCACTCAAGCAGTGTCTGTTGTAGGAAGTGGAGCCAAAAAGAAAAAAAAAAAAAAAAGGAAGTTAACTTAGCACAACCGTCTGCCGGGGAGGAGCGGCCGGTGGGCACCCCTGGAACGGAAACGGTTAGAACAACTTTGCACCCTTCTCAAAGGAAACAGATCATAAATCGTTCTCCGTGGAGGGGGGGGAGCTCTTGTTTCTCAGGAGTCCAAAGCCTCCTGCGGTTTCATTTACCTGCCCCCCCCCCCCTCCCCCCCCCCCCGCCCCCCCCCCCCCCCCCCCCCCCCCCCCGCTCCCCCAGCAGCTAGGGTCTGGGTTCGCCTCTGGCCACAGCCCCGGCGGAGGGAGGAGTTTATCTTCCCACTTCAGTCCCTAAAGTGGGTGGAAACAAAGTGATGGTTGCTATCTCTTCCCAGCAAAGAAAACTAGCCCCCAGCAGTTCTGGGGCGGCCAGGGGGTGGGCTGGGGCGGGGAAACCTATGTCTTTCGATGGTTTATAACTCAATTCAGGCCCTGAAACCTAAACTGCCCCCTACATATTGGCTTGTGTGTAAGGTAGATAAAGTACAAGGCCCATTTGAGTGGCTGGATGGGGAAGTGGAGGGTGTGGGGGGGCTGGTCTCCCCGGGTTTTCAGCTCCAGAGACCTGAGAGAGAGACGGCGAAGCATGGGCCACACTTGTGACTGGGCCCAAGGCTGTGACTTGAATCTCTAGATGCTTACGAGGCTTCAGGCAGCTCTGTTTGCAAAGACAAAACAGAAACCAACCGTCCTGGCTGTGGGAATGCACACGGGCTAGTGGTGGGAGATAGGGATTCTCAGAGCTCTGTCAACACTGAGTTCTCTCAAAAATCTTTGTTAAAAAGGCCAAGAGGTAGAACTTTGTCCAGAGCTGTAGCTCTACTTTCCTGAAATTTCTCCTTCCTTTCCTTCCCTGATACCCAACCCCCTCCTCCTCTACTCTGTTTCCTGTTTCATTTTCTGGCTCCGGCTCCAACAGGAAAACCAGGAAGCTGAATCTTGTGTTCTCAAAGCCTTCACACCCTGGCTCTTCAGACTGGAAGGTGGCAGGATGGGATGGGAGGGGTTTCTAGGGCTACAAGGCTGAGTGAGAGGTGAGAGAGAGACTGCTCTTGCTCTCTACAGTATGCTTTTAGAGTCTGCAGCTAAAATGGTGCCTGCATCAACAGAGAAATGTGGAAAGCAAGGGAGCCAGCCATGGCTCCAGAAAGACTACACCTCACAGTTGCTCCTACTAAAAGCAAATACATATACCACTAAGAACCAGTTTCATACTACAAATCCCTAATTTGAGCAATAGAAAGCATTAAGATTCCTAGAATCTTAAAAATTCAAGAGGATTACAGTATTTCTGTTCTTTGAATTTGCCTGGCTGTACTCTAGCTATTTCCTCTACTTGAAACACTACTATCACTATCCTTTGGCCAGTCTCAACAGGGATGATACTTTCACAGACTACTCTGCCACAACTGCCACCTGGTGCTAGCCCATTCCCCTATTCAGTGGGTGTTTTCTTCACAAAAGCATTCTCAACTTGGAATAGTGCCTTAGGCAGGGGATGTAACTCAATGATGGAGCCCAGGGTTTGATCCCTAGCTTCACAAAACAAACAAAACAAAGCAACTCAGTGCCTTGCACATTGTGTGCCTACAAAAAAGATCTGGCAAAGTCAATCTAACCTGATACTTTTATTTTATAGGCTCACAAAGGGGAAGTAAAGGTCCTGAAGTCAAGAAGATGGTGGTGAGGAAATTTGAATTCAGGTTTTTAGCCTTCCAGGCTAGTTCTATAACCACATGTTATTTTAACAATGCCCAGATATAATTCTTTCCTTCTCTTCTCTCCCCGCCCCCCCACCCTTCCCCCACCCATCGTATATTAGGTCTTAATAGCACCTACCTATCCTTTTCTCCATTAAATTCCGTATCTTACTTGATTTATTCAACAATATAAGAATGCCTACTAAGTGATAGAAAATAGGGATGTACTATTGAGCAAGATAGGCTTTGCCCTCACAGGATTATGGTCCTTGGCATAAAGTGTTCATTAAAGATGGGCTGGCTGGTTTTTGGTTTTGTTTTTTGCCAGTTCTCCTTGAACTTGGCCTGGGCATGGTCCCTGAGCTGCTTTTGCTCAAGGCTAGCACTCTACCACTTGAGCTACAGCACCACTTCTGGCTTCTTCTGTTTATGTGGTGCTGAGGAATGGAACTCAGGTCTTCAGGACTGTTTATGTGGTGCTGAGGAATGGAACTCAGGTCTTCAGGAATGCTAGGCAAGCACTCTACCGCTAAACCACATTCCCAGCTCAAGGATGGGCTGTTTTAACTCCATGAACAGAAAAGAGGGAGAGGGAAGTGGTAGAAGAATTAGGGAATTCTCATGGACAATACGGTCTGATCACTCATACCTCTTTGAAATTGACTGCTTCCACATCAGAAGGCCTTGGCTTCAGGCCCAGAGGACAAACAGCCCAGCTTGTGTGTGTGTGTGTGTGTGTGTTCTCACTGGTTTAGTTTCCAGACACTAAACTTTCTACAATTCCTATCCTAAGGGATTGGAGTAGGTGACCTTAATCTTGGGTGTTGGGTCCGAGGCCATATTCTTTTTTTTTTTTTTTCTTTTGGTCCAGTCCTGGGCCTGAACTCTGGGCCTAGGCCCTGTCCCTCAGCGCCACTTCCGGCTTTTTTTTTCTGCTTATGTGGTACTGAGGAATTGAACCCAAGGCCGCATGCATGCAAGGCAAGCGCTCTACCACTGAGCCACTTTCCGAGCCCCGAGGTCATATTCTTGTGGGCCAAAAGTAGCCACAATGGCTTCTGATCCTATCAATTGTTAGTAAGCTAGACTAATACCATGATGGTAGCAGCTGTGCTTTACCAACACTTCATTACTTCTTTTCATCGTAGATAAAATAGGTAACATTTATATCCTTCCTGATATGTAAAGCAACATCAATTTTAGGTCTTCAACATTTAGCAAAAAAGCATCCATTCTTGATCTGGACAAAGATCACTGGATGTTTATCTGCTCCAGGTCAAATACCTTTCCCTGCTTCCAAGAGGAGTCAATCTCTAGTGATTCAAAGTCTATGGACACACTTAACCAGTCTTCCAGTAGTAAAAAATCCTTCAGCTCCACTGAGACGCCTGGTGGGAAGGCCTTAGCCACTCTGGAGTGGCAGTAGCTGCCAGTAAAAGAGCCAATGAGGGTGAGTATATTGTTTAGGCTAGACTTGGCTGCTGTCCAGCCATGAAAGAAGGTTAAGGTCATTTGTGGGTTGGGGAAGGAGGAGCCTGGGAAAAGAACTACTGGACACACCCCTGGGTTCTCTACTGGCAAGGTTCTATTTACTTCTCAAAGGCAAATTACTCACAGCTCAGTGGTTAGCAGTTCTTTTGCCCTTGGTAACTCCAGTTAGAAACTAGAGACCAGGCTTAGGCTCCTCTGCATTGCAAGAGAGCAGATGGAAGGAACCAAGGAAACCAAACTCCTAGGTAATGCTTCACACACAGCCCAGAAATGCACTTTCTAGATTAGAAAATGGGAGCTCAAGAGGCCCATAGCAAAAATACCCATCAGCAATATTGCTTACCAAAATGTACATATGAAAAGTTTTCCATTTTGTTTTTTTCCAGAAAAGGCCTACAAAGTCATCTTGGTTGACAAAGGATTTCCCCTCTGAATAGAGAAATACTAATTATTCATTCCAGTACCTGACCAAAATATTAACAGCCACATGTAGTTTGATGAGCAATTGGTTGAAATTCTTTATCTTGGATGCCAAGTACTGTTCCCCCCCCCCCCCCGAAAAAAAAAGCAACAGACACATACAAACACCTTGCTTGCTTTAGATTCAATTACTCCTTGATATCCTCTCATCTAGACAGGACAAGCAATATGATATACTGGGAATGGGAAAAGCATGGGACCTAGTTGGCATATAAACAAACAAGCC